CATGAAGAGCTAATGAGAAACAGTCAGATCACATCTCCCCATACTTCTTCAATGTCCTGTCCTTCCATGGGGACCGGAACGCTCCTTATACCCCTGTGGGACCAGGGACATGAATATGGCGTGCTCCTGCTTCTCTCCGTATGTACACACTTACAGACAACCTCACTCAGCAAACGGTCGGGAAGAACAGATCCGATGTCAGTACACAACCTTGATTCTTAATTAAAAATCAATACGAGCGTGGAGTCCTTGGCGGCACCTCACAGTTTTGTTTTAGTGAGGTGGCTTGATGTATATTTGTCACCCTTGACACTCAATGAGAGACGAAACAAACTCACTGGCACCGAGTCACTGTTGGCTCATAATGACTAGACTGTGGCACAGACTAGACCTGCCTCTGTGGGTTCTGAGCCTGTCGCGGGTGGTACAGAACAGCCGACTCTGCGGGTTGCAACCCAGCGTGTAACCCACTTTGCCAGCAGGGCTCCTAATCTCAGAGGTCGGTCGGGCGTGTATTATCTTCTAGTTGTCAATGGCGAAAGTGAGATTCAGATTGTGTCAATCATGTGTCCCATGCCTCACGTGCTGTTTAAGTAATGAAACAACACACTAACAAACCACACTCATCGCCATCGAGTCAATTCGGATTCATTCGAGGGCAGGGTAGAACTGCCCTTGTGGGTTTCTGAGAGCGTAACTCTTTACACAAGTAGAAAGCCTCAGCTTTCTCCTGGGTGGTTTCGAACTGCTGACCTTGCGGTTAGCAGCCCAGCACAGAATCTCAGGTTCACTGGTGCAGACCATACCAGGATTCTGGAACGTGTTCCCTGTGTGTAGCTCTCCCCGCCCTCTTCCCCCTCATAAAGGGAAGCACACAAGTAATGGTCTGGTGAATGATGATCAGTCCTTTCTTGCCAAGTTCTTCCCCGCTCCCTCTGAAGAGTTTGTTTTGGACAAGGATGAGGGGCTTGTTTCAGTATAAACTTCTCTGTGGGGAAGCACACCAGCCTGTGTGATCATGAGGTGTTGAAGGGATCAGGTATCAGACATCAAAGAACAAAAAATCATGTCATTGTGAATGAGGGGGAGTGCAGAGTGGGGACCCAAAGCCCATCTGTAGGCAACTGGACATCCCCTTACAGAAGGGTCACAGGGAGGAGACAAGCCAGTCAGGGTGCAGTGTAGCAACGATGAAACATACAACTGTCCTCTAGTTCCTAAATGCTACCCCCCCCCCCACTGTCATGATCCCAATTCTACCTTAAAAATCCGGCTAGACCAGAGGATGTACACTGGTACAGACAGGAACTGGAAACACAGGGAATCCAGGACGGATGATCCCGTCAGGACCAGTGCTGAGAGTGGCGATATTGGGAGGGTGCAGGGAAGGTGGAGTAGAAACGGGGAACCGATTACAGGGACCTACATATAATCTCCCTGGAGGACGGACAACAGAAAAGTGGGTGAAGGGAAACGTCAGACAGCGTAAGATATGACAAAATAATAATTTATAAATTATCAAGGGTTCATGAAAAAGGGAATAAAAATGAGGAGCTGATGCCAGGGGCTTAAGTGGAGAGCAAATGTTTTGAGAATGATGAGGGTAACGAATGTACAAATGTGCTTTATATAATTGATGTATGTATGGATTGTGATAAGAGTTGTGTGAGCCCCTAATAAAATGATTTTTTTTTAATTCTAATGGGAAGACCCCGTTGGTACTGTTGAAATTTGTCTGATGTGTCCAGGGGCTCTTGGTCTTGAGCACAGGAGAATGGGCTCATGGACCACACATGGCGAGCAGAAAGCAAGTTTATTTACCAAGGGGAGGAAAACGCCTGACAGAGCAGGTGGGACTGGACTGAGTGGCCGAACAAGGCATTGTGCGATAAAATGCCTTGATCATGCGCTTTGATCAGATGTGGGCTGCTTGACCTGCCTGTGTCTCCAGGCTATGAACGGACCAATCCCAGGTTGGGTCCTGGTTCTCAGGTCCCATCCCTACCCTGGTCATGCTCTGTCCATGGCTGGGATTTGCACAGGCAGGGAGAGGGCAGTAAGTGTGCAATGAGTCAGCAAACAGTTTTGGGTTTGCCGACTTTGGAGTTTGAAATCCGCCTAGGGGTCTGATGTCTGCAGACTTCAGTTTTTCGTTGTCTGAGGCTGTTGGAATCGCCCCTCCAGACATCCTGCCGCTTCCCATTCTTCTCTCCAGGCCTCTAATCCTCCTGCCCTGCTGGGCCTTTGTCTCCTCTCTCTCAGCGTTTCTGAACCGCCCTGTCCACCTGCCAGTCCGCCTCTGTGCTGCGGCCCGTGGCTCCTTTGCAGGCTGGCCGCACGGCACCATCTGCCACCCGGAGGTTCCCACTTGTGCCTGGGGTGGCCCTCTCTGGACAGCTGGCGCTTGGGGCTGCCCCCAGGACACAGCCCAGGTGAGGGTCTGGTTTACTTTGCTCTCAGCACCACACCACCTGCAAGCCAGAGCCCTCGGCATTCTGCCGCGTCTGCTCAAGCCCAGGCAGAAGACAGACGGAGAAAGTACAGCCTGAGAGTGTTCTCCTAAAGGGCGGTTTTCTCTGGGCCAGCAGGCCAGCGTGGCTGCGGGGACGTGGATGACATACTTGTGGAATTCCTCCAGAGAGCGGACATTCCTGGTCTGGTAATTGCTTACAAACAGAAGGAAAGAAACATACCTTCTCTTCGTGTTTGTGATTTTCACTTTAAAAGCCACCCGGCGCACTGCTATGGTTGGGGTCGTTAAAAAAAAAAATAGATTAGTGGGATTGTCATTCATTTTTTAAAACTCAAGAAATGGAGGTACAATTAGGCAATAAATACAGTACTTTAAGAAATTATAGATGCAACTCAAGGGTCCCAGGTGGCACAGGGTTTAAAGCACCAACTGCTGCTAACTGAAAGGTCAGTGGTTCAGACCCACCAGCCGACCCCTGGGAGAAAGGTTTGCAGCCTGGAAACCAACGGAGGCAGTCGCGCTCCGTCCTAGGGGTCGTTGTGCGTCAGAATCAACCTGATGGCAGCGAGTTTGGTTCTTTGAAGGTTGGGTTACTCTGAGTTACAAATGGCTCGACGGCAGTAAGGCTGCCTGTTGGCTTTTTGTTTCCGAAGCATCCCAGGGCAGTGACAGCAACAGTTAGTTTTTGCTTTTGTTGTGAGGTGCGAGGGAGTTGGTTCCAACCCATAGCGACCTGATGCGCAATTCAACACAGTGCCATCCGGTCCTGCACCAGTGCTTGAGCCCGCTGTTGCTGCCAGGTGTCAATCCAGCTCCCCGAGGGCCTTCCTCAAGGTAGTGGTCTCAGTAATAGTGTGTCCACAGCACACAGTGCATCGTTGCTAATGGCCACACTTGTAGCCCCCTATCACGGATACAGATTGACTTCATGGGCATGACCCCTCCTTAGTGCAGGTGAATCTAGCTAATACGCCCTCCTCCCCCTCCTCCTCCTCCTCCTCCTCCTCCTTTTTTTCTTCAAAGCTCTCAGAGGAGTCTAGGGTTTGAATATTTTCAGCTCTTTCTATCAGGTTTAAAAAAAAAAGGGTTTCACTTGAATGCTGAGGCCTCCCCTTGTGAAGGATTGTAGGCCGAAGGGGTTCAGAGAGGTTGGCTCTTCTGCTCTCACACCTGACAAGATAAAAACTTTAGCCGAATCCTGGCTGATCAACATCTGTTCAGTGGCCGGCTCCTTATTTTCCCTCAGGAGTTAAGCCTTCCTGTCAGTACATGCCTTTCTTCCTGCTGTAGTGGAAGGCGGCTTTCTTCCTGATGGAACTGATAAGCCGCGCTCTGGGGTTGGAAGCTCACCTCTAACATCTCCTCTTTCCTGCTGGTCTGGTGCTACGTCATCTCAGTCATCGAAACACGTTCCTCCGTGCTGCCGGTCTTTCCCCCCTGTGCCTGTCTCATTTCATAGAGTGACCTGCTTCGTGCACGGACGGCTTCCGATGGGTCAGGCCCCGGGTGGACTGAGTCTAGTGGAGAACAGGGCCTTGGGCTATGTTTTCATTTGCTTTTAAGATGGAACATGAAGTGAAAATGTAACGTATTAGTTTCAGAAGTGGGAAGGGCAAGGGAGCGTTTAACCTGCTAGGAGTGCCTCAGTGGGAGCGGAGTGGGTGGTGGGGTGGGACACACGTTGGGCTGCTGACAGCAAGGTCAGCGGTTTGAATCCACCAGCGGCTCCGAGGGGGAAAGATGAGGCTTTCTGCCTCTGTAACGATTTGCAGCCTCAGAAACCCACAGGGGCAGTTCTGCTCTGCCCTTTAGGGTCGCTATAGGTCAGTATCGACTTCATGGCTGTGAGATTTGTTGCTGTTGGTGGCTTAGGAGCCTCCCAGGGCTGTGGTTTCTTGGCCCTTGTGTGGGGGTGTGCTGCTATCTGCCTGTGTTGGGGGGCTATGGCAGGTGCTGTGGCTGTTGGTGCTCTGGAATGCCGTCGCCAGCCCCCATCGTGAAGGATGGACAGGACAGAGAGGAACCTTTCACCTCTGCGTCACACCATGCCCGTGTGCATGGGAACAGTCCTGAGCCCCTGGGGTGAGGCCAGCCTCAGCGCCAAAGAGGACGATTCGGCCATTCTGTCCATCTTGCCCCATCAAGGATGACGTCCCAGGGAGAGACCATCGTTGACTTCCTGCTGGTGGTGACGGGCCGGCTGTGACTCACTACAGCACTTTCACCAACTCAGCCCAAGACAAAGCTAGGCCGGCCGCCCGCTGCAGCTGTGGGGCCAGGTTCCCTGTGTTTTGAGAGAATGATGGCTTTTGTCAGGGCCAGGCAGGGCATTCTGGCCTCTGGTGCACCTGCCACACTGCCGAATCAGACGTGTCATGGGCAGCGCTTTGCTCTGGGAACCCTTGCCTCTTCCAGTGGTTTCCAGAGAACCTTTGTTTTCTGTGTGTTAAACTTGCAGGGAGCCGGATGTGAAACCCCGACTGATGGACGGAATGTTCTCCCATTTCTGTTTTCCAGGAGCATTCGGTTCATGGACCCCGTTCCTACGTGGGTTCTGGGGGTGCTGCCTCACCTTGCAGACCATGTGAAGGCTGCTGACCACTGACCTCCCTCAGAGCAGACCGTCCCCGAGGTAAACCCAGCTGAGGCGGGCTGTGCCTTCAGCCGGGTGCCGTGGCTCCTTAACAGCCAGACCACAGGTTTCATGATTCAGCCCAGTGACTTGGGGTTGAAAACCTTCAGAACCGTCACCACAGGGAAGTCGGATCTGCTTGACTATCGTGGCTGGATGCTCCTTGGCATTCAAAACAAAGCCTAAAACAAAAGTAAAACTTGCTAAATTTATTCAGGGACTAATTGAAATCATCCTCTCTCTCACGCTTGTTTAAGCTAGTGAGAGAGTCGTTAGAATAAAAAGGAAAGGGGGGAAAAAAAACAACAGAGGGTGGAATTTGAACTGAACCTCACTTTGAGCGTGGCTTCGTAGAGAGGCTCACTGAGTTGGGGCATCCAAAGAGAGGAAAGGATCTAATGCTGTTTCCTTGGGTCTCTGCCGTCTAACAAGCCGGCTTGAGTGTTGTTCCTGCTCCTCGTGGTCTCAACTGAGGGACCCTTGAAGGGTTCAGCAAAGCCCGAGACGATTGGCTCACGAAGAAGGCGGCGTTCTCCCTCGCAGCCTCGCTTTTGAGGACCCCCCAGCCCGTGTCTGCTGGGTGGTTAGGTTTCTGGACTGGGTTTACCTCCGTTCTTTGCTTCGCATGCTGGAAGAATTCATGCAGCAGAAGCAAGTTTTGTAATCTGAGTGACTTTAATAAAGGAAAGGGAGAGTTTCAGGTATTACAGTCTCAACACCACGTGGAGAGAATACAGAAATGGGGAGGGTGAAATCCACACGTGTGGAGTTGGGGGATCCCTGGAGGCCAGGAGGAGGTAGGGGGGCGCCCCAGAGGGCCTGCAGGCGTTGACGCACCCCACTCTGCCTGCAGCTGAACAGGAGCAGAGTAAAGAGAGCTTGACGTTCCGGCAGCCTGCTCTTATTCCCTCCTGCCCCACTGTCTGGGGCAGGGGCCGTGGTTGAGGGCACTGGCTGATCTTACTGGCTGCTTTTAAGCACACCTGCGTGATGTCAGGGGCCTAGGTGGATTAAGGCTTAGGTTTCTCCTGTGCTTAGGGGACGTAGTCTGCACATGCTCAGTTTGGATCTTCCCATAGGTGTCCAGTTAGTGTGCCTGAATAGGTGTCCAGTTAGTGTGCCTGATCTCTTTCCAGTGCCTGCATTGGGACCCTCTGCAGGCATTGGGGAGGCGACCCCCTTTGTTCCTCATCTAGCATCCTGATAGGGTCTCGAGGCGTTATACACGAGCAAGACGCTTCCTTTCTCTTTGGTCGTCATGGTAACTGTATCTCTCTGGTTGCTGGAAAGAGTCCCACCCAAACCCAAAGCCAAACTCTCTGGCACCGAAGTGATGCCGACTCACAGCGACTCCGTAGGACAGGGGAGAACTGGCCCTGGGGGAGCCTGGGACTGTACCTCTTTATGGGGGCGCAGGGCCTGTCGTTCTCCCAAGGAGCAGCTGGAGGCTTCGAACTGCCGACCTTGTGGTTGGCAGCCCACACAGGCCAGAAGGTTGGCAGTTCGAGGTCACCCAGAGGCCAGGAGTCCTCCTGCCGAGAAGCCAGCATTGCAGACGCTGTGGTGACAGGCCTCCCACGACGTGGACGGGTTTGCCAGGAGCAGGAGCCGAGTGCCGGCAGCCACTGGCGATGTCTTTTCGTTTTAAATCCTTGGGAACTCAGTGTGTGCAGGCGGATGGGGTAAGGCTAGTTTCTCCTCGGGTTTTCCTCTTTCAGAACCCCTCATTCAAGCCCTCACACCACCAAGGTGTACGTGAGTCTGGACCTTCAACCGATTCTGTTCCGATTCGCTTTCTCAGTTCGAACCTTGCAACAATCCACGTGCTAAAAATAAAAACCCAGGGAGGGTGTGGGGTTGTCTGAGAGGCCAGTGGTCGGGCTTCGCAGCTAGGAGAACCACGTCCAGGCGAGCCTGTGTGCCCTGCCCGTAAGAAGTCACTTCCTTCGCAAAGGGTGAACGACATTCGTTTTCAGAAAGTCCTGTTGTCACGGCCTAGTAGCCCTGATGGTGGGCGTGGTGGTTCTAACCACAATATGAGCAGTTTGAAGCCACCAGCCAGCTGCTCGGGAGAAAGACGGGCTTCCTGCTTTGGTTAACAGTTACAGTCTCAGAAACTCACAGGGGCAGTGTCTACCCTGCCCGGTACCTAGGCTTGCTCTGAGTCAGAATGGACCAGCCGGCGGTGAGTCCTTGGGTCATCACGGAATGCCTGACTGCTGTCTCCCTTCTTATTTTAGGTAACGATGGGGAACTCCGAGAGCCAGTACACCCTCCAGGGCTCTAAAAACCACAGCAATCCTGTTCCTGGTGCTAAGCAGAAGCCCTGCTCGCTGAAGATCCGCAGCCTCCACGCCAAAGACGAGAAGTTGCTGCATGGGTGGGCCCCCGGAGGCAGCGGCGCCAGCTACAAGTCCAGGTCCCTGGCCCGCAGCTGCCTCTCTCACTTCAAGACCAACCAGCCTTATGCCTCCAGACTTGGTGCCCCCACCTGCAAAGTGCCCAACGGCCTGGGCTACGCCAAGCACTGGGCCAACACTGCAGGGAAGGACTCCCAGGGCGACCCAGTGGCCTTCCCGGCCGACAGTGGCTTCCACTGCATTGGCCACCAGCCTGCGGAGAAGCCCCTGGCCTCTCGAGACTGCAATGGTCACCTCCTCACCTGCTACGGGAAGCGGGAGATCGAGGCTGCCACCCCACCTGGTGAAGATCGGAAGAGCCCCAAGGTACTGATCAAAACCCTGGGAAAGCTGGACGGGTGTCTTAGAGTTGAGTTCCACAATGGTGCCCACCAGGGCAGAGTGCCTGCGCAGGACACCGGGGAGCCAGTGCAGCTGCTGCGCTACTCACCCACCACCGGGTCGGGTGCCCCCCACGTGCCCTTGTCCCCAGGAAGCCCCGAGGATCCCCCAGCCGAGCCCTGCCTCTCAACCACGGACTCGTGCCTGCGGTCCAGCAAAGGCAGCTCGCTGAGCTCCGAGTCGTCCTGGTATGACTCTCCCTGGGGCATCATCGGGGACATGAGTGAGGCAGAGGGTGCCTTCCAGGGCCCCGACACCCCAGACCCCAACCTGCACCCCGGCTTCCCAGCAAGTGATGCCAAAAAGCCATTCAGCCAAAGTGCGTCCCTGTCCTCGCTGCGAGACCTGTACCGGGACCCCGTGGCCCTGCGGGGCCTCTCAGAGGAGTGCATCGCCCCCCACGCCAGCCTCAGCACCCGCAGCGCCTTTGCATCCGACATGAACGTGCCGTCCCGCGTGGAGCATGCCAGCCCCTGCCAGTACAGCTCCTTCACACTGCCCTGCCGCAAGTCCAAAGCCTTAACAGAGGACACGTCCAAGAAGGACACCCTGAAATCCCGCATGCGGCGCTTCAGCGACTGGACTGGGAGCCTCTCGCGCAAGAAAAGGAAGCTGCAGGTGGGTGCACGTTAGCGTGTAAGAGGGAAGAGGGTTGGCTATCGTCCCTGGGCACCCAGCCCAGGGCTGGCAAGTTGATTGGGGTCTCCGGCAAGTTGATTGGGGTCTCCTCATGACCAGGTAGGATGGAGGCCAGCTGTTTCCAAGGCTGTAGATTCTTACAGGAGCAGGAAGTATCATGTTTCCCAAGGAGCAGCTCATGGATTCTAACCGCTGACCTTGTGGTTAGCAGCCAAAGGTGTAACCCACTACACCACCAGGGGAACCCTGGCTTCCGCACTGCTTCCCCAGAACCTAACCCCTTGGCGGCGGTGAGTGCGGTCTGATGGTAGGGTGGAGCCATTGTGAAGTGTCGCGGAGTCTGTTTGGACACACAGCAACCCTGTGCACAATGGAACAGAACAGTGCCAGGGCTGGCGCCAGCCTCCCCATCGTTCCTGTGCTCGAGCCCATTGTTGAAGCCACCGTCGCCGCTGGTGGGTCCCAGCTGCCTGCCTTCCAGTTGGCAGCCGAGTGTGTTCACTGCTGAGCCTGAGAGCTCCTTGGAGACCCTGTGGGGCACTTATGCTCTGCCCTGCAGTCTTGCTCTGGGGCGTGACCCGCTTGATGGACATGGGTTTGGTGGTTATGGTAGATTTCCCGAGGCTGTGCCTGGTTGGAAACCCCTCTGAATTGATTGCATCAGGATCATTCAGACGGTCAACCTTTTTGTGGTAAGAAGTGGCCCAGGGAAGCGGCTTGCTGGTTTTGCTCCTGGTCTCACACTCGGTAACCTCCGCACTGAGATGGAACCATGGCCAGCGCTGTGCCGCCTCCTTTGGCCAAACCTGCATCTGCCTCTCAGGACTGAAGGTGAGGATGGGGCTTAGGGCCTTAAAAATGAATTCAGTGCGTGGTGGCACAGAGCTGCTGTTAATGTAGGCACCAAATACATACTCTGGGACACACACACACACACACACACACACACACACACACACACGTGTGCCCTCAGGGCTCCAGAAGTCATCCTACAATGGAGGGTCATTTTGTTTTGAGTTTTTAGAACCATGGTATAAGGAGAGTCATTCCTTTTTATTTTTTTAAAATTTAAATCAATTTATTGTGGGCTCATACAACTCTTATCGCAATACATACATATATACATCTATTGCATCAAGCACATTTGTACATTTGTTGCCCCCATCATTCTCAAAACATTTGCTTTCCATTTGGGCCCTTGGAATCAGCTCCTCATTTTTATTCCCTCCCTCCCTGCTTCCCCCTCCCCATAAACCCTTGATAATTTATAAATTATTATTATTTTGTCATGTTTTATACTGTCCGACATCTCCCTTCACCCACTTTTCTGTTGTCCATCCCCCAGGGAGGAGGTTATATGTAGATCCTTGTCATCGGTTCCCCCTTTCTACCCTACCCTCCCTTCACCCTCCTAGTATTGCCCTCTCAGCACTGGTCCTGAAGGATCATCTGTCCTGGATTCCCTGTGTTTCCAGTTCCTATCTGTACCAGTGTCCATCCTCTGGTCTAGCCAGACTTGTAAGGTAGAATTGGGATCATGATAGTGGGGGTGGGGGAGCCTTTAGGAACTAGAGGAAAGTTGTGTGTTTCATCGATGAGAGCCGCTCCCTCTTTAGAGGGGCTCCAAACAGTTCCTGAGTAGTCAGTGAAACACCATACTCAACGGAGAAGGACGACCACGCTGTTCAGAAAAGCTACAGAGAGCAGGTGATGGAGAGGTTATCTGTCTGATGCCGGAGAACTCCTTGTACTGACTTGAGCTGAGGTGAGAAGTAAGAGGTCTAGGCCCTTCCTGGTTAAGTTCTCAGTTGTATCCATCAGGACAGACAAGGTCATGGTGAAGCAACAGAAAGTCCTCCTCTGGCTGAGCGTGGATGAACAGAAGTGATTTCTCACTTGCACTACGTCTTTATCATTAGTCAGCTCTTCTGCCTTGCGCTCGCTCTGGGACCCCAGACTGCTGGAACAGCTACCCTTGGGAACATTGAAAACCTTGGGGGGTGCAGAGAAGGAAGCCCCTGGTGGGGCTGTGGGGTGAGGGTTGTTAGACTGCTCACCGCAAGACCTGTGATTCAAATCCACCAGCCGCCCTGAGGGAGGAAGATGAGGCTGTCTGCTCCTGTAAAGATTGGCTGCTGCTCTTCTTAGTGGCATAGCGACCCAGCGCACTACAGAACAAAACACTGCACGGCCCTGCCCCATCCTCGGTCCTCCCTGTGCCTGAGCCCATGGCTGCTGCCATTGTGTCAAGTCAGGAAAGATCTTACAGCCTTGTACACCCTCTGAAGGAATAGTGGTTCCATGCTGGGTGGCCAGCCACAGGGTCCGTAGTTTGAAACCACCAGCGCCCCCTTGGGAGAAAGAGCAGGACTTTCTGTTCCTGTGAAGAATCGGAAATTCACAGGGGGCAGCTCTGTCTTATCGCGTAGGGTCTCTGTAGTCGGAATGGAGTCTGTGGAGGTGGGTGTCTCACTGTGAGTCGCAGTCCACTTGACGGCCATGGGTTTGATTTTTGGTTTGGGTGGCAGAGGGGAAAAGAACACGTGTGTGGGCTTTTTACGCTTCCACTTAGAAGTGACCCCCGTCCTTCTGCTCACCGGTATCGGCCAAAGCCAGGCATGTGGCCTTGCTCACCTTCAAGGGAGGAGGGTTGGTCAAGTGCTTTCTCCCCTTGTGTCTAGAGGAGGACTGGCAATACTTGGTGGGTGGCCCTAAAGGCCAGAACAGATATAGAACTCACTGCCATCGAGTTGATACCTACTCATAGCGACCTTGAGGCAGGGTAGAACTGACCCTGTGGGTTTCTGAGACTGTAACTGTTTACAGGAGTAGAAAGTCTCATCTTCCAAGGAGTGGCTGGTGGATTTGAACTGCTAGCCTGTGGTTGGCAGCCCAACATGCCAGGGCTCTTTGAACAGATAGAAGGCATCTTCCTTGCCGTCCAGTGGTTTTTATTCATTAGGATCTTATTGGGCCGAGCTGACCTGCCTGATAAGGTTTCCAAGGGTGTATGTCATCTGGGGGCAAACAGACTCCTCATCTTTCCCCCAGGGCACTGCTGCCGGCTTTGAACTGCTGCCCTTTCAGTTAGCAGCCAAGCACTTAACAATGACCCCACCAGGGCTCTTGGGTGGAGAGCTCCGACACCCTGAACATGTCGCCCCAGTGAGTGTGCACCCACACGGCTCTTGGAAGGTGCTCTGGAGAGGACACCCTCGGCAGCAGTGGCCCTGCTCTGTGTCAGAGGAAACCCCGAGTGTGCGGAATGACACGGTGTGAGTTAGGGTCTCCCCCTGGAGCCTGGGGAATGGTCAGCAACGTGTCTTTAGCGGTCAAGTCCCGTTAGCCACTGCTCATGACCATCTAACTCGTGCCGAGGGAGAGCTCACTCTTGGTGCATGTCGATGACGCGGCCCCGGTTTCACGCCAGCCTATGAAAAGACCCTAAAAAGTAGTCCCTGGCTACCAGAATTCCCTGTTTCTAGGAAGCGGTAGAACTTCATCAGAGTCTGGGAAGTGTCTGGCTGCGTCTAAGATTCAGTGCTAGAAGGCCACTCTTGCTCATTTGTTAAGGAGGAAAAGTCTTGCCTTGGTGTCGGGCCGAATGTTTAAAAGTTAGCACCGCTGTTTGGCAAATGGGGTTCTTTACTCCCATGAAGAGTGCCCATCTTGGAAGCCCACAGGGGCAGTTATTCCCTGCCCTGCGGGGTCGCCATGAATTAAAATGGACTTGGTAGCAGTGAGGCTTTCTCGCTCTTTATCTTTTTTGGGGGGTTGTGTGTAGGTCAAGGGGCTCAAGCATTGGAACAATTGGGAGGATGGCGCAGGGCTGTGTGGTGTTTTGTCCTGGTTCATATGGTCACTATGGGCCGAGACTGACTCGATGACACCTCACCACAGCAGCACCAGGGGTCAGCTCTCATTTGGGCGCTTCTGTGCCCTTCTCTGACCTCATGTGGCTTTTTTAGAAATGGTCCGTTGTGATGATTGCTGGTGTTAGGGGTGACCCCAGTGTGTTTGGGCCTGTGAGTCAGAGAGTCTTGGTAAGAGCTGAAATCATGCTCATTTCACCCTGGTGGAGTTTTTGTAGAAACACACACACCCTCTTAAGCTATTTGGGAAGTTTCCTGTTTCAGTGACTCACAGTAGCTCAGGAGCTAGGCTTAGTTTGTTGCATAAGCTCCAGCATATAAATAAATATCACTCGGGGGACGCAGTGTAAACACAAGTGGGGAATAATATTTTCATTAGTGATTGCTGTGTTGGGGTGCCCTGGTGTGTCGCCCCTGGGCACTTGGCAGCAATCTTCGGTTGCCTGGTGGTTGAAAACACAGCGAGTCACTGCCGCTTCATTTCCAGATGACAATGCTAAAAACCAAATACACCCCCCAAAACCTTTCTCAGAGTCCACCATTCAAGATAAGGCCTCCTTGGATTGGTGTTCCCTGACTCAGCTTCCCTGTCTGTCATGTGTGTGCCAGTGGACAAGAGAGTCCTGTGTCCTGCCCAGTAGCCCTGGGGCATGTGACACTCTGCAGTGTGCTTAACAATCCCAACTGGGTGACTGTCCCTGAAGGGGCATGTTTGCAAGGTCAGGTCAGTGAATTTTGCCCTCTTAGCCCTTGCCCCCCCCCCCCTTTCTTTAAAATGTTATTGTAAATTAGGTGGGGCTTAACATTTCGGATCATCAACTGCGCCCCCCCCTTTCTTTAAAATGTTATTGTAAATTAGGTGGGGCTTAACATTTCGGATCATCAACTTCGTATCCAACAGTTGAAACGGCTCATCAAAAGCCCCAGTAATTTACCCTTCCCCCACTCCTTGATTTCTCTTCTCTCCTTGTGGACCACTGTCTTCTATCACACCCACCACCATCTTCCACGACTCAGATCCACAGTCTGACCCGTGGCTTTATCTTCCCTCCTTACCCCACCCCCCAACCCCCACCTTGGCGGCACCCACCCCCCTTAAGTGTGTTCCCTTTGTGTGAATGTCTTTAGGAGGATCAAGTCCTGTTGTGTACCTCTCGTTTCTGCTCTGTTATTTATCAACACGTGGCCCGGATGAAGACTGATTTAGTGTTCTTGAAGGACTTAAGCTTCTAATCTGGACTCTGGACCAGGCCCTTCCGGGTTTCCCCCTCTTCGCATGATCCCCCGTGTCAGCATGGGGTGCGTTTTGTCCTGAAAGGGGCACCATTCATTGAAAAAGATGAGCTTCCCTGAAAGGGGCCCGTGTCTGACTCTGTGACTGGTAATGGTTAGCAGTAAGCAGCGTCCCGTCCCGGGCATCTGTAGTGCCTAGAATAAGATCGGCTTTCAAATCAGAGGACAGGAGGGAGTGAACGACAGCACAGTGATTATGAAGCAAAGCTGCAGTTACTGCCCAGGACTGGGGGCTCGGAGGTGTGTGGCTTTAGTGTCTGCACTGGGAACCGCAGTGTTAGTGAGCCCCTCCTCTCGACATGGGCAGCAGGCTAGTCTGTATCATACCTACCAGGGGTGGAAGAGGCATTTACCGTATTCACCAGGGTGAGGGGAAGTGAGGGTGCCAATCCCAGCTTTCCACCGCAAGCTCCTAGAGCCAGTGATGGACTAATTGAGTTAAAAATGATCCCTGAAATGGAAATCCCTCCACCTGACTCACAACAAAAAATTCATTTAAAGAATAGACAAGAGACTAGGCTTAGGGTTACGCCTAGGATTTAGGGTGTTAGGGTTAGAGTTCTGTTTAGGCCAAGGCTAGGGCTAGGATTAGGGCTAGGGCTAGGTTTAGGAGTATGGGTAGGACTAGGGGTCTAAATTGAGGGCTAGGACTAGGATTATGGCTTCTATTAGGTCTCAGTTTATAGTGAGGGTGAAGGTCAGTGTTAGGGTTATATTTAAGGTTTGAGAAAATGTTAGGGTTAGTGTTAAGGATGGGGATAGGTTTAGGGTTCAGAATTCGGTGAGGGATATGTCTAGAGCAAGTCAAAATCAAAAACAAACAACCTGCATGAAAACAGACCCCCAGAACCCGGTGTTTCTGCAGGACATGCCAATTCACAGTTATGAAGAAATAGAATTCTCGACATTTTCAACAGCCTATTTATGTTAGTTTGGGTAAACTAGGGAAACAAATCTACAGAAACTCACATGTATAAGAGGGAGTTTTATAGAAAGGGTAAGTGTACGTTAAGAAAGCATCCGAACCCAGTGACGTCCAAACCCATAAGTCCAACATTAATCCATATGTCCGACACCGATATACAAAGCCCTCCTCAATCTCACAAAATACACGCAGTGATGCCAACTGCAGGAGAAAAGCTCAATCAGTGAACGTGTAATCCTCTCAGCGCTGGCAGGGATCGCTAAACGGCTGCTCCAGGACCCAGGGCAGCATCTGGGTAGGTCCATGTGGCTTCTCCTCAGGGATGTCTCACAGGCAGCGAGCCTTGCCAGCTGAAGCAGGGCACTGGTTAAGGCAGCTGCACCCTGGTCCGACCATCAGAGAGCAAGAGACCCGAGAACTTGAAAGGCAAGGCTCACCGAGCCATTTATCTCTCCGCCCTTCAATTAACCCCATATGTGTTTATCTGCCAGGTTGGCGCAATAATCCTTCACTATCTCACCGATTTTGAAGAAACGAGTTCATTTCTCCTTGTTCAGCATAAGCTCCTTGTGGTTGCTGGTGGCCTTTGAATAGGCCCTCAACTTGTGACAACCATTTACACCAGGGAGGCTGCTGTATCCTCCCCATGGCAGTTGTGGGCTAGGCTATCCCACGGGCTTATTTTCACCAGGAGGCTTTGCCGAAACCTGCTCAGCATGAATTAGAATGTTCCATGCCGTTCTGTTTGCCCCTCAACCATTGATTCTGATGGGAAAACTGGGTTGGATAAAACGATTCCTGAAATTCCTCCTGGTTTGGACCGTTGGCAGCACCTGGCCCCGCAGCATCGGTACTGGGAACGTAGGCGCTGTGGAGGCAGCAGGGCAGGGTTAGGGTCCAGGTGGCTTCTGATCAGTGTTGGTTTGTTTTGCCCACAGGAGCCCCGGTCCAAGGAGGGCAGCGACTACTTCGACAGCCGCGCCGATGGACTGAACACTGTGGACACGCAGGGGCCCTGCCGCATGTCCGCTTTCCTGTGGTCAGGGGGCTCGTCGCAGATCCTGCCCCAGAGGAGCGAGTCCACCAGCGCCATCGGCAGCGACCCCCTGAGGCAGAACATTTACGAGAACTTCATGCGGGAGCTGGAAATGAGCCGGACTCACACGGAGAACGGGGAGACGTCCACAGAGACGGCCGAGTCCAGCAGCGAGTCCCTCAGCTCCCTGGAGCAGCTGGACCTCCTGTTTGAGAAGGAGCAGGGCGTGGTGCGCAAAGCGGGGTGGCTGTTCTTCAAGCCCCTGGTCACTCTGCAGAAGGAGAGGAAGCTGGAGCTGGTGGTGCGGAGGAAGTGGAGGCAGTACTGGGTGACGCTCAAGGGTAAGCGGCCTGTGGGCTCACTGAGAGCCCCTTGCGAAACAGCCCATTGGGCTCAATGCTTGTCTGGAAGGCGCTGACCAAGCTGCACCCATCCCAGTTACCGGGAAGGGATTTGGGAAAGACTCTTATGCCCTAAACAAACAAGCCAAAACAAACCCATTGCCATTAAGCTAACCCTGACCCAAAGTGACCTTTCAGGGCATGAGGTTTCTGAGGCTGTAATCTTTGTGGAAGTTGCCAGCACCTCTTTCTTCCGTGGAACTGCTGGGGGATTCAAACTGCCCACCCTTTGGTTGGCAGCTGAGCACCTAACCGCCGTGCCACCAGGGCTCCACTCTGACAGCATGTTTCATTGGCACATACTTCACATAGCGTATGGTTTTATTGAGCAGTCACGTTAAGAAACGCTTCTATGACTTATCCAGTCACCGTTGTTGGCTTGTTTTTGTTTTTGTTTTTTTGGCTTAGTGTGATTTTGTTTGATTGTATTTTGATTTGGACACTTTTCTGTACACGGAATACAGAATAGGAAGCTGTATAGAGACAGTCTCTGGGTACAGGTGTGGTGGGGGGCGGTGGGAGGAAATGAGTGAACACCAATGAAGATGAGAGAAAATTATCCAAAACTGATGGTGGGAATGACTGCACAACTCTTCCAAATGTGGCAGAATGATTAAATTATCTGATATGTGACCTTTTGCCATTAAAACTCTTAAAGTAAAAAGGAAATTTGTGTAATCATCACCACAATTTCAGATAATTTTCTTCTCCCACTCACTGTTGTTAGCTCCCCAGCCCCTGCCCCCCAGCTTCCCTGCCATGCCCTTAGGTAATTATCAGTCTGGTTACCATGGTGGCCCTACGTAGCCTGGATTTCATATACAGAAATAAAATCCAGGATAGGTAGATTCCTTATAGCATGTTTTATCACAAATTCTTTCCTGGAATACTGATAATATTTCTACTGGGCATTTATATCTAGGTAAGGCATATAATTAATTTTAGTAAGTGATGATTGACCTTAACCAGTCAGCCAAGGTGAGGCTTTGTCTAACCTACCAGTGGACATGTGGTCCAGAGAGATCAGTCCCCGGAGAAGGACATCATGCTTGGTAAAGTAGAGGGTCAGCACAAACAGAAGAAGACGCTCAACAAGATGGATTACAACAATTTATTTTAAAGAATTGTTAGGAGCCCTAGAGGCAGTGGTTAATGCTCGGTTGCTCAAGGTCAGCGGTTCAAACCCACCCTTGGGAGGAAGCTACGGCAGTCTGCTTCTGTCAAGATGTAGCAGCCTTGAAACCTGCTCCATCCTTTAGGGTCGCTGTGAGTTAGTATCAGCTCGCGGCAATGGTTTTAATCTCAGCCATTATGAACTCAAGGAACCTGGTGGTGTAGTGGGTTGCATGTTGGGCAGCTAACCATAAGGTCAACAGGTCAAACCCACCAGATCCTCAGAGTGAGGAAGATGAGTCTTTCTGCTCCCTGGAGATGTGCAGCCTCAGAATCCCACAGGGGGCAGTTCTACCCTGTCCCATAGCGTTTCTCTGAGTTGGGTTTTTGAGTTTTCATGAACTCAGAAATTCTAATTGGTGTCATCACTAACAAATGTGGAGGTTGTGTTTTATTTTGTATGTAAACAAAAGAAGTGCGCACAAATATACTTTTAAGATATTTTTTCTTTTGAAGTTGGAAACATCCATTCCCAAGTCTAGCTGCATAGGAATCGGAAGGGCCGCTATGTATGTGGGTGGACAGATTTGCAGGAACCGAGCACCTGTGGGGCGTGGGGTGGCGCAGGCTCTGCATCACACCGTGCCGATCTGTGCCGCTGTCACAGGCAGAGCAGCTTCCTTCCCCAGGCAGCGTTGCCCAACCTCTGCGTGCTGCTCAGGTGGGCTTCACAAGCCAGCCCTCGGGAGCTGGAGACAAGCAGTGCACGGGACGTGTCTGCGCTGCTCAGCTCGCACCCGCTAGTTTTATTATCTGGAGAGGAAAACAGAGGACCCCCACGCTTATTAGACGACATTTGTGATGACCATAAACTCTTGTGGCAAAGTTGTACCATCTCAGGTCTTTTAATCCCCAAGGAATACCTTCCTCCAGCGAGCTGCAGGGTGGGGGAAACCCCAAGAACCCAGCCTGACTCGGATAGCAGGGGGCCCTGGGGCCATCGCACTTATCGGTAGGCTGTTATCCACGAGGTCGGCAGTTCCAAACTACCAGCCCGCTCCTGGGGAGAAAGATGGGGCTCTCTGCTCTCCTAAGCAGTCTTGGCAAGTCACAGGGGCACTTCTGTCCTATGGAGCCGCTCTGGGTTGGCATCAACAGGATGGCAGTGGGTTCGTCCCCCAACTCTGGGTCTACACCCTGGGAGTCAGGGGCGACAACGGATGATCTTCCAAGGTTTGTGTCCTGTGGAGACAGGCTCTTACCGTGAGCAACAAGAGATGTGGAAGGTCAGTACGATGGGGTGGAACTAGCAAGAAAAGAATTTGAAGGCATCGTAAGTGGGTGTGCTGTTCGGTTCGACACCCCACTGACTTACCGCCTAGGGGACCCTGAGCTTCTGTGCGTGGGCCTAGGAAAATCTGCACCAGGATCCAGGTGTGATGGCTGCATGGAACAGTTATTGAGTCTGGCAACGAGTCGGTCATGCTTTTACCACAGTGAAAAGGTAAAAATAAAAATATAAGCTACGGCCACTGCCCAAATACAGGATGGGGGTGCCGTGACTCCGAAGCATGACAGATGAAAAGACTTGGAAGTTTGCTTTGCGGGCGCCTTCCTACGGAGTTCCAAAGTCCAGTGATTTAAAAGAGCGGGTGTGGGGCTGTACCAATGGAGATAGCGCTCCTCCTTCAGAGGAGGCGATAGTTGAGTTGGCTGCATCTCTCCTCTGGGGACGAGGCTGCAGGAGAGTTGGATGTACAGGAGGAAATGATTCTCGTAGTGTCTACGAACAGAGAAGAGGCTGAACAGGCCCCCTTGCAGGGTGAGCGTCTGGACTTTCCAAGGGTCTCGGTCGGCAGTGGCCTCCTGCTTGTGCGGGATGTCGAATAGATGCTCTCGACTTCAGAACGTATGTCATGTCCATCTTTATCTTCAACACCTTCTGTCGAAACCGAGGCTTTGGGAAGTTGCCCTGCGACTCTTTTATGGCTCTGGAAGCCCCAGTGTACCTCCCTACAGGGGTGGTGGCCATGGGGTGTGGCCACATCGGGTGGTGATGGGGGGATGCAGGGCCACAGGGGGCCTGTGAAATTGGGACACTCGTGTGGAGGGTCAGTTGCATGAGGGTCTAGGAATATGCTGCTTGGAGAACGTAGGAGCGGGGGTGAGAGTGAGCGGCGGTTTTGTAGAAGGATCATGGAGCTGAAGTGATGCCTGCCTGAAGGCCCTAGCGCCCTATGATGACCGTCAGCTCTGCACCCTGGTAGTCAGTCACAGGGGAAGCAGGGGTGGCCACGTCTGTGTTTTGGATCTGGTTTGTTTTCATCACGAATTCAGATCCAACTTGCCTTCTTTCTTTTGGTTCAAGTCCAATCCCAGGAGAACCAGTGGGGGGGGGGGGTGTCACCCGAGGTGGTGGAGGTGGTGGGTGGGAGTGGGAGTGGGGAGAGATGTCATCCGAGGGACTGGGGTGGGAGCTGGGAGGGGAGTGTCACCTGAAATGCTGGGGTGGGAGCTGGGGGTGTCATCCGAGGTGGGGGTGGAGTGCGGTGTCGGGAAAGGAGAAGCAGGGAGAAGACTGAAGGTCTCCTCCCAGAGACTTTGCTGCAGGAGCGTCCTCTGCCCCCGTACACTCCCACAGAGGTTTGGTCTGCTGCTTCTTGGGTCTCCGCTCCACCCCTGGTCCTGGCTGGAGGAGCAGGCAGGGGTGGGGACTGCAGCCCACTGGCTACTTTAGGGGGACAGGGGCAACTCTCTGGATGTTGGTGCAGCCCCTCTGCTTCCAAGCCCCCTCAGTAGAGATACAGAGCCCCCTTGGGCTACCTCAGCTGTAACAGCTGGGGAATGGTTTTCCTGTGCTTTATGGTCAACAATAACACGTTGGGAGGGTGGCTGTTCCCCGTCCTTCCTGGTGTGAGGGGTCCCCGAGAGCTCTGGGCCACTGTGGATGGAGTGTTGGGGTTTAGATACATCTTGGCATCTCCCTCATGCTCATCACTATTGGATGTAACGGTTCCAGCCAGGGCCGCTGGGAAGCTGGTGGGCTCAGCACGCCCACTGCAGCGGTACAGCTTAATGGGAGCAGGTGAACAAAAACAAACTCATTGCCACTGGGTCCCTTGCCACTCAGAGTGACCCTGCAGGACAGGGTAGAACTGCCCCTACGAGTTACCAAGACTGCAACTCTATGGATGGGAGTAGAAAGCCTCATCTTTCTCCCTCCAGCTGGCTGGTCATTTTGAGCTGCTGACTTTATGAGTAGCAGCCCAACGCATTACTGCTATGCCACCAGGGCTCTGTAAGGAAGCAGGCAAACATCCGAAAGTGCTTGGTAGCGTATGGGAGAGGAGCTCTGACGACGTAGTGGTTACGAGTAAGGCTGCTAACCCCAAGGTGCCCAGTTTGAAACCACCAACCCCTCTGTGGGACAAAGATGAAGCTTTCTACTCCCGTAAAGAACTACAGCCCTGGAAACCCACAGGGGCAGTTCTACACTGTCCCGTAGGATCACTATGAGTCAGACTTGACTCAAAGGCAGTGAGTTTGGTTTGGAATGTCTGGGAGCCTTGGTGGCTTAGTGGTTACGCATTGCACTGCTAACTGCAAAAGTGAGCGGTTCGAAGCCACCAGCTGCTCTTCGGAAAAAAGAGGAGGCTCTCTATTTCTGTAATGAGTGGCAGTCTCAGGACCGGACAGGAGCAGTTCTACCCTGTCCTATAGGGTCACTTTTGAGTCAGAATTGACACTGAGTTTGGGTTCAGTTGGAGTGTTGTTATGGAAATAGTTTTTACAAATACTCCCTTGTGTTAGTCTGGGTAGACTAGAGGAACAAATTCACGGACACTCATATGTGTATAAGAAAGAGCTTTATATACAAGAGCAATTGAATAATAAGAAAACATCCCTGCCCAGATCAAGTCCATACGTCCAATATTAGCTCATATGTCCAATACTAGTCCGTAAATTCCTCTTTAGATTCATGCAGCCATGAAATAAAGCCAAATGCAGGAAGATCACAGGCCAGTGTGTAGAAAGTTTTGTAAGTGCCAGTGTCGGTGGAAGGATCTCAGTGCTGGCATGGGTCTCCACTTGGCTCCTCCAGTTCCCAGGCTGTGTCAGCGTAGCTGCATCAGGCTCAGCGTCAGTGATGCTTCACAGGGAGTGAGTGTGTGTCCCGCCTCTCTCTATCTCCTTAGTGCCTCCCACTGAGGTCATCAGGCTGCGACCTGATTGACAGGCTAACCTCCACCTCTTCACTCTTAAGTCTCAAATTCACAGCAGATTATGTAACTACCACATCCCTCCTTCACAAGGAGCCCTGCTGGTGTAGTGGAGTAGGAATTGGGCTTCTAACCACAAGATCAGCAGTTCAAACCCATCAGCCACTCCAAGGGAGAAAGAAGGCTTTCTGTTTTAGTAAAGATTTACAGCCTCAGAAATCCACAGGGGCAGTTCTACTTTTCCCCATATGGTGGCTATGGCTTGGAATCGGCTTGATGGCAGCAAGTTAACCACCTCTAGCAGGGGCCCCAATGGCACTGTCTGTTAGCATTGGACTGCAAATCACCTGGCTAGCGGTTCAAACCTACCCACAGCGCCTTGGGACAGGAAGTAGAATAAGGGTTCCTGGGGAGTTTAGGGACGGGGTGGTTAGAGGGCTCTGGTATCAAGGCGTTCAAGAAGGAAGATAATGTTTTGAAACTGATTGTGGTAGCAATTGTACAATATTGCTTGATGTGATTGAACCACGGAATGATATGTCTGTATTAGTTCTCAATAAAATGGTTTTGGGAACCACACACACGTGTATATATTGACACTTCTGCAAACACCATGCTGGGTGACCATGCCTAGGTATGGACCTGATGGGAATGGGTTTGCTTGTGGGTTTGTTTACTTGTGGCCCTCTGGTCTTCATTGGTTGCATCTCCAGCCTTCCGGGTGCTGTGCTGGCCTTCTGGACAGGTGACCGGACGGCCCTCCCTCTCTCCTTCACAGGCTGCACGCTGCTGTTTTACGAGACTTACGGGAAGAATTCCACGGACCAGAGCAGCCCCCCGCGGTGTGCCCTGCTGGCTGAGGACAGCATCGTGCAGTCTGTCCCCGAGCACCCCAAGAAGGAGAACGTCTTCTGCCTCAGCAACGCCTTTGGCGACGTCTACCTGTTCCAGGTACCTGCCGGCTCTTTGGAAGCCTAGGGCCCGGGGGATGGCGGGCGTTAAGAGAAACATCTTTGCCTTACTGGGATGAGCAGGGACCTAGTTGAAAAGGCAGAACTTGACCTTGAGTGAAGTGAAAGCAGAGTTGGGGGCTTTGGTAGTGGCTCAGGGGTAGAACCCTCACTCTCCATGCGGAGCCCGGGGTTCAACCCCTGGCCTGTGCCCCTCACAGGGAGCCCTACTCATCAGTCCTCTAGGCTTGGGTGTCCGACGAGTCGGGACAAATTCCAGCAGAGCTTGAAGACTTAAGATGGACTAGAAGAAAGGTCTCAGTGTTGCTTCCAAGAATCAGCCAGTGAACAGCCTCTGGCCCACAGGGGTCGGATCTGCACCTGATCCCGGGGATGGAGCAGGGCCAGGCAGGGATTCCCTCCCCAGTGCTTGGGTTTTCCAAGACTTGCCTGCAGCTAATAACAATAACAACCAAAGCTCAGGGAGGCTATGGGTTTGGGCTTAAAAAAAGAGGTGCTAGATTCCTAACTGCCCTGACAAGTGGGTGCACTCATCCAGCGGTTGTTACTTGGGTGTCCTTGGAGTGCCAGCCTGTGGCCCAAGAGAGGTCATGCAGGACAGTGTGAGAAGCAAGTAAGGCGGAGTCCCCCACCCTCTAGTGAGCTCCAGGCCAAATTCCTGACCTCTCAGCCCCTCTCACTGGGAACTTGAGGAGGAGAGACCCCGGCTGTGGCCAAGAATCCCAGTGGAAGCCCCGCAGGAGCTTTCAGGAAAACCATCAAAGGCCGGAAGGGGTCTTGGGAACTTCACAGATAGGTTTTTGTGGTTAAGCTTTTCAGCAACTTTGAGAATTTGTCAGCTGTGGAATGGGTCCAAGGCTTGAGGCGCGGCTCCTGCTGAGTGGATGCTTCATCTTGGAGTGGGAGCTGACCGTGTCTGAGTGAGGGGCCCTTCACTCAAACTGGGACCCGCATCATCACGTTGATGCTGACTCATAGCGACCCCGTAGGACAGAGTAGACCTGCATCTGTGAGGTTGTAAGACTGCCACTCGTTATGGGTGTAGGAAGCCCTGTCTTTCTCTTGGCGGGGTGGCTGGTGGTTTCGAACTGCTCACCTTGCAATTAGCAGTCAACCTCATGACCATTAAGGCACCAGGGCTCCCTACTGGCATAGAGGATTCCTTTACAGGGAAATACTCTCATGTGCTTGTGCTCAATACTAAAGACACTCTACCTGTTATTATCATACAAATTACATAGTAACTCAAGAGAGGTGGCCATGTGTGTCCTGGGGATTAAGGATTCTTCACAAACACCTCCCAGTTCAAGCCACACCAAATCCAGATGGTTTCAGACTGGAAGTCCCTGGGGCAGCTCAAGGGCCCTAGGTCCAGGTCTCTCGTAATATTGGCCCCCTAGGCCCTCTGGAGCCCTTCAGAACAACTTCAGGTTCCCAAGGCTGACTTTGGGAATCTAGAATTTTCTGAAGGGGTCCCTACAACTCGCTCTTCCAGGTGAAGCAAGGTCAACTCTTTGACCTCTAGCCTTACTGCTGCCCCCAAACTGACTTGACCTACCAGAGTCAGGTCCTAGAAGTTTATTTTCCTTCTGGGAACGCTCTTTAATAGAAAGTGAATCTTTCTGTTAATATGAAATGTTGCAGAATGCTTCCAAGTGAAGTAATGCGTGGCTGTCCATTCAAAGGTAAGCTGAGGTCATCTGCTTTTTAAAAACCCGTCCTTGGGACCCCGGGGAGCGAAGTTCTACTCTGAGGCACAGAGGAGGCACCGTGAGTAGAATGGATCCCACGGCCACTCGTTCTGGTCCGTTCGGGAAGTGACTCAACTCACCGCCATTGAGTCTGTGGTGACCCATAGCGACCCTCATAGGACAGGGCAGAGCTGGCCCCGGGGGGTTTCCGAGGCGGTAATTCTTTGCAGGAGCACAACGTCCCGTGGAGTGGGTGGGGGTTCATGAGGTGAAGATGCTGCAGAGGCTGTGGGGGAGAGCCAGCCTGCCACGGGGGAGGCCATCTCCAGCGACCGCCCACGGACCTGGGTTGTGTCTCCCCGTGTGCCCAGGCCACGAGCCAGACCGACCTGGAGAACTGGGTCACAGCCATCCACTCTGCTTGCGCGTCCCTGTTCGCCAAGAGGCACGGGAAGGAGGACACGGTGCGGCTGCTGAGGAGCCAGACGCGCAGCCTGCTGCAGAAGGTCGACATGGACAGCAAGATGAAGAAGATGGCCGAGCTGCAGCTGTCGCTGGTCAGCGACCCCAAGAACAGGAAGGCCATCGAGAACCAGGTATGGCCTGCCGCGCCTGATGCCACATGGCATGGACCGCGTGGGTGGCGGTGGGGGTGGTGCTGAACTTCTCGTGCCAAGTATAGGTGGTGTCGACTTCATGAGGTATCTGATTCAAGTGACGCCAACCGCACTTCCGTTATCCTTTTTGGATAGTCCGTGATAATACTGCGTAGTACAGTGCTGGAGCTGAGTCCGAGGGGTCAGGCATGGGGGCACTTGTGAGGATGGCAGTGTTTCGTTCTGTTGTGCATCGGTTGCTGTGGGGTCACAGCCCACTGGATGGCATCGAAGCACAACGGTGTTGCGGCGTGTAACTCCCTGACGCCCTGGTTCTCCTGTGTCACACGGGGCCCTTGTACATCAGAATCCACTCAACAATGAGCTTGACGATTGTTCTTGCTTTCTCTGGCACAGCTTCTGGGTGGGCTTGAACTGCCAGCCTTTCTGTCAGCAGCCAAGCTCTTCTCCTTGTGTCCTTGAGCTCCTTCCTGCTCACCTTAGACTTGTGAATTTCTGGTAAGAAACAATTTGGACCATTCTTCCGTAATTCCACTTGAAAATAGTCGTCTCACCATAGCTGTAGTTTGTTGGTTTTGGGGGGCTTTTTTGGTGGGGGGTTGTCATCATTACTTTGTTGGGGCTGCTCGGTGCCCCTGAGTCAGTTCCAGCTCCTAGCGACCCCGCGTACAACAGAGAGAAACACCGCGTGGCTCCGGGCCATCCCACAGTTGTGCTTATGTTTGAGCCCATTGTTGCGGCCCCTGTGTCTTCCCATCTCGTGAGGACCTCCTCTTGGTCTCTGCCCCTCCACTTTACTCAGCAGGATGCCCTTCGTCAGGGATTGCCCCCTTCTGACCACAGGTCCAAGTACGTGAGAGGAAGTCTCACCACCCTTGCCTCTAAAGACGTCCTCCTTCCAAAGACGGAGCTGTTGGTTCTTTCGGCAGTCCACGTTGCTTTCCACACTCTTCGCCAACACCATCGTTGACATGCATCCATTCTTCTTCCGTCTTCCTTATTCAGTGTCAAACCTTCACCGTGTGTACGAGGTGATGGAAAGTACCATGGCTTGGGTCAGGCACCGCTTAGTCCCCAAAGTAGCATCCTTACTTTCTAACACTTGCAAGAGGTTTTGTGTGGCAGATTTACCCAAGGCCACATGTCATTGGACCTCTTGACTGCTGCTTCCATTAATCAGGTTCTTCCTCAGGGCCTTGATGATCTGAATTCCATTGGTAGTGCCCCTTTCTCAACTTGGAGCCCTGGTGGGACAGCAGGCTGTGCGTTGAGCTGCGAACCACAAGGTCAGCTGTTCAAACCCCCCAGTCGCTCCGTGGGCAAAAGAGGAGGCTGCCTACTCTCGTAGAGCTGTAGAGACTTGGAAACCCAAAGAAAGGGGGCAGCTCTTCTCTGTCCTCCAAGGTCTCCATGCATCAGCGTCCATGGCGGTGAGTGGGGTTTGGCTTCTACTCGGCTCATTTGGCAGATGGTTTTCAATAGAACAATCGATAGACCTAACGGATGCATCTCGCTCTCCAAGATCCAAACAGCTAGAAATGGTGCATCTTGTTTCTGAGAAACGTATAATTTAGCTGGCGAGGGAAGCGGTGGAAACCTGAGACGAAAGAACGTTGTGTTCTTAGTGTCCCTACGTGCCATCCGGGCGATCCCCACTCACGGTGTGTGCGGAACAGAACTGCTCCGCGGGGTGTTCAGGGCGCTAGAAACATGAACGATGGGGCGGGGTGGGGAGGGAGGACGGGTTGACTTTTACTAGCTCTGCTTTCACTGGAGAAGACAACAGGAAGCCCCAAAGGCAGAGGCATTAACACATCGTGACCATTAAGAGCAGTTTCCCAAATACCCTGCAGGTGGATCATTTCCTTTTAAAAAATTATTTATCACGAGGGAGGGCGGGTAGGGGTGAGGGGAGAATGAGCTGATACCAAGGCCTCAAGAAGAAAGAAAATGTTTTGAAAATGAGGATGGCAACATACGTACAAATGTGCACACACACAAAAGTATTTAAGACACGCGTCCTGCTGACCAGATAGGTGACTAGTTTTGCCCTTAGACAGGTGCATGGGCATGTGGATTGCAGCAGATAGCATTGCTGAGTGACTCTTGGTGACCCCGGAGGACAGGGTAGAACTGCCCTGTGAGCTTCTGAGACTGTAACTCTTCATGGGGATAGAGAGCCTCGGCCTTCCTCTCAGGAGCCGATGCCAGTTTGAACTGCTGACCTTTGTCACCAGGGCTCCCCGCCACACATAGAGTTGATTTAAAAGTTCACTGCTTATCATTTGTTTGCCCTCTTGCCCCATTTTCACTTGCTCTAGTGTGTATTGTATTCTGCTCTCTCTTGGATCGAAGTTCATCTGTGTTTACTTTGTCGTTGCTGGTGAGTTTGGGTGTGGGTTTTTGTTCTGGTTTTGTATGACTTTCTTGATATGGAATCTAGGGTAGGTAAGTCTCTAGAGACAGTGACCAGATTAGTAACCCTGTGGGGGCTCTGACAGGGGAGGTTGGGGAGCAATGGGGAGCTAGTAGTGTTGGGGATGAGAAGGAAGAAAATGATCCAGAATTGGTGATGATTGCACAACTCTCTTTAATATGTTTAAGCCTTTGAATTGTATCATACATGAAATATGCGAATGAGATGGTGGGGAGGAGACAGAGAGATGGTGGGGATGGGGGCGGGGGCGGGGGCGGGGGATGGGGGGTGGGAGAGGAAAGAGAGGTCCATTATCCACTATGATTTCAGAACCTCAGCCTAACACTGAAGTTTATTGATGTCACATCTCCCCCCTCCCCCCAGAGACCCCCAGGATCTCAGATACCGTCACCTCTGGCCTGATCCTCAGTGGCTGAACTCACTGTGGGTGACCGCATGCAAGATCTACCCTCCAAACAAGTTGTCTTTGAAGTCCTTGGGTGGGGAAAATCATTGTCAATGTTTTTTCCCAAATTTAAAGACCCGGATAATAGTAATCAGGGCTGGGCTTCATACCAGTATGTGGTAACGTGCTTTGCTTAATATAGACCAGTCTCGGGCCTTTGGGGTATTTTGTGGGACAACGTGATGCAACTTCCCTTTGAGCGCATCCAATGCGGACCAGGCCAGCCAGTCCACATGGCGGGCGTCCCTTTGAAGTTCAGAGGAAGGCGGAGTTGCCAATTAAGTCCAGTTAGTGCTTTATTTTCTTTTCCATTTATTATTTTCAACCATAAAGGGGAGGACAAAGCCTCGCCACCCTGAGGGGATCCTGGCATTCCCCCAGATGGCCTTCCCTGGCTTCCTGCCCCATTATCCTCTCCCAGGAGCCAGCCCATTTCCCTTCTTCTTAATTAGGCTGAAGAGGGAGGCTGCTGTCTCCACTTGAGAAGGAGCAGGGGACCCCAGGACCCCTGCGCTGCGGGGGCCGCGTGAGAGCGCTGGGCTTCCAGACCTGGGCTTGGTTTTCCTTAGTTATTTCCATGCCAGCTTGGAATTAGGGAGAGGATGGATTGAATTGAGGAACTTTGGGGGGCGGTGGGGGGTGGGGTTGTGGTGAAGGGTAGGGTGTGAATAAAATCCTTGGGGCAGATGTCACTGGAGAGAGGCGTGGGGTGAGGCAGTTTGTGGGAGAGGGATTCAGCGTATTGGGGAGGAGGTGGGAGGGATGCGGGCGGGAGATTAGCGTTCCGTTTAGCTCACTGAGTCTTCATTGAGTGCGTCTGTTAAGTCCAGGCCAGTGTGCATGCATGGGAGCCTTGGTGGTGTGGCGGTGGCTTACACATTGGGCTGCCATCTACAAGGTCAACAGTTCGAAACCACCAGCCTCAGGACAAAGATGGGGTTTTCTACTCCCAGAAAGGTCTACAGTCTCAGAAACCCACAGGGGGTTTTCTACCCTACCCTATAGGACCTCCACCATTTGAAATCGAGTCCATGGCAGGGAGGGTTTGTCGGAGTGTGCCGACAGAGGAATTCAGAGTCGTGGTCCCTGCCCCCTCCTCGGGTTCCTCTCCGCCAAGCAGATGATTTGTAATGTTGAGAATCCAGAGACAGTGGGATTCCAGAGTTGGTGGGGGGGGCGGGGGAGATGCACCCAGGAAATGTAGCCTCGGGGGCAGCCATGGAGGACTTCCTGGAGGAGGAATGCTTGACTTGGGTCTAGAATGACGAAGTAGTCAGTAGAGGAATGGAGAAGGACATTGCAGGTGCACAGGAGAGCAGGAGAAGGTGGGCAGCCCCTGGTGGTGTGCCTCTTCGGCGTGCAGGTGGGGAGAGGTGTGGGGTGACGCGGCCGCATGGTCTCCCTTCCCACCATCCCTGTGGAAGCCTTCGGCTTGACCCTTCCTTAGAAGCCTCTTCAATACAACCTTGGGAGTGTTTCGCATCTCAAAGCAAGTCTGATCAAAGGCTTATGAGTCTACTGGACGGCAGTGAGTGTGGGCCTTGTCTTAAACAGCCTTTAGAGGCGCCCATTCCTTAATATTATTGAAAAGAAAAAAGGGGGGGTGGTTTGAGTGGCTGCCTATTCGTGGCAGCTTCAGGTGGGACAGAGGGCTGCCCAGGGCTTCCTCCACTCTCTGTCCATTTGTCCTGCTGTGATGGTTCACACGCTGCTGTGAGGCTGACAGCTTTGCTGACCAGTAAATTCAAGAGAAGCAGGGTCACCCAAAGTGAACAGTTTTGACAGGGCTTGCAGCGCGAGAACAGACCAGGACGAGGGCCCGGCTTAGCAGGAGAAGAAACGGCTGCACACACCCGTTGCTAATCAGACTGAGGAGAGTCTGTAACAGGAATCTAGGAAAATTGGAAGGTGCCAAAAATGAAATGGAATGCATACAGATCAATACTGTCGACATTAGTGAGCTGAAATGGTATGCCATAGGCCTTTTCAGGTCTGGCCGGCTATTATGCTATATTGGGAAGGGCAAATTCAAGAGAAATGAAGTCACATTTGCCATCAGGAAGAATGTTTGAAGATCACTGCCGTCAGTGATGGTAT